GGACACAGGCATGGGCAAGGACTTCATGTCTAAAACACCAAAAGCAATGGCAACAAAAGCCAAAATTGATAAATGGGATCTAATCAAACTAAAGAGCTTCTGCACAGCAAAAGAAACTACCATCAGAGTGAACAGGCAACCTACAGAATGGGAGAAAATTTTTGCAAGCTACTCATCTGACAAAGGGCTAAGATCCAGAACTTACAAAGAACTCAAACAAATTTACAAGAAAAAAACAAACAACCCCATCAAAAAGTGGGCAAAGGATATGAACAGACACTTCTCAAAAGAAGACATTTATGCAGCCAACAGACACACGAAAAAATGCTCATCATCACTGGCCACCAGAGAAATGCAAATCAAATCCACAATAAGACACCAGTTAGAATGGCGATCATGAAAAAGTCAGGAAACAACAGGTGCTGAAGAGGATGTGGAGAAACAGGAACACTTTTACATTGTTGGTGGGACTGTAAACTAGTTCAACCATTGTGGAAGACAGTGTGGCAATTCCTCAAGGATCTAGAACTAGAAATACCATTTGACCCAGCCATCCCATTTTTACTGGGTATATACCCAAAAGATTATAAATCATGATGCTATAAAGACATATGCACACATATGTTTATTGCAGCAGTATTCACAATAGCAAAGACTTGGAACCAACCCAAATGTCCATCAATGATAGACTGGATTAAGAAAACGTGGCACATATACACCATGGAATACTATGCAGCCATAAATAAGGATGAGTTCATGTCCTTTGTAGGGACATGGATGCAGCTATAAACCATCATTCTCAGCAAACTATCACAAGAACAGAAAACCACACACTGCATGTTCTCACTCATAGGTGGGAATTGAACAATGAGAACACTTGGACACAGGAAGGAGAACATGACACACTGGGGCCTGTCGTGGGGTAGGGGGAGGGGGAGGGATAGCATTAGGAGATATACCTAATGTAATATACTAATGTAAATGATGAGTTAATGGGTGCAGCACACCAACATGGCACATGTATACATATGTAACAAACCTGCACATTGTGCACAAGTACCCTAGAACTTAAAGTATAATAAAAAATAAATTTAAAAAATACCATAGACAGGCACAGAATCTGTTTGTTGTATATTGTGACTGGCACATGGTAGGTTCTCAATAAATCTTTGTAACAAACGAATGAATAAATACCACAAACAACATTATTTTATGTCCTATAGTTGGGATACAAAAGTAAATATAATATAACCTCTCTTCTAATAGAGTTTCTGACATAATTAGATGGTTACAATCACTTATTTATCATCTAATCTTTGTCATGTACTAGCTGAAAAGCAAAGACAAGACACAATGGTAAATCTGATACTAGCCATATTAGTAAAATCAACCAAATCCCTTGTTCTGATAGTCTCTACCTACCATGTTGGCGAAGGAAGGATCCCTGTTCCCAAATAGTACAAGATGGATGAGCTCCTGATATACTCAACACTGGACAGATGAGACTGGCAGCAGTTCATTAATCACATACACTCACAGCCTGGGAGAGAAGAGCCTGCACACCAGGCAGGGATATGTAGTGGTTACACTCAGGAGTAGAGCAAATGAGCTGGGCCTGTGGTGTATAGTATCTAGAGGATGAGTTGCCTCCTGGTTCCCATGGGGGGAGGGGGATATAATATGTTTCTTTGAATAATTTTACCAGCTCATAAGAAGGCAAAATGACTTGGGCTGAGGCCTGAGTAGGGTGGCCGATAGAAGAACCTGCCTGGTGGGGAGCCTTTTCTGCTGGGTAGGGGACATATCTGGCAAGAGCAAGGGAACTCATGGTTAAACCTTTAGGACCCTGTGAGGGTCAGAAATGTCAAGGTATCACATGGAATTGTAGGTCTTACAACACATCCCTTCACTTCTCCTGGCCTCAGATCTTCATTTGTAAAGTCAAAGAGTGGGGAATGAATTCTCTCAAGGTTCCTTGGAGTTTTAACTCTCTTTAATTCTCAATATGTGTAGTCAGTTAAATGAGGGGTGTTTTGGTCATTTTCTGATGCACTTGCTGTCCTGATTGTTCTATGAAGATTAGTCTATTCTTGTTAACTTTAGAGCTATCTCAGTGAATTCAGGCCAATTTCCTAGGGGCCTCTCAAAATTTTAATATGAAGTTGAGACATTTCATTTCCAGGGAGTGGGAAGGGGAGTGTAGTGTGTTATAATATTAGTACAGAAGTCAATTTTTAAATTAAAACGAATAACTTTTAATTAGAGTCCAGAAAAGAAAGGATATTTATAAATCTACAATCAAATAATATTTTAAATGATGTTAATCTTTCCAAAATAACATTTTAGCAAGAGTTAAGAAATGTTTATAATTCTCTTCCAGAGAGGAAAATTCATTATCACAGACAGTAGGGGATTTATGATTTTCATTAAATTGTAAAAAATTAGGACTGCAGGGCTGGGCGTGGTGGCTCACGCCTGTAATCCCAGCACTTTGGGAGGCTGAGGTGGGTGGATCACAAGGTCAGGAGATCGAGACCATCCTGGCTAACATGGTGAAACCCCGTCTCTACTAAAAATACAAAAAAAAAAAAAAAAATTAGCCAGGCGTGGTGGCAGGTACCTGTAGTCCCAGCTACTCGGGTGGTTGAGGCAGGAGAATGGCGTGAACCTGGGAGGCAGAGCTTGCAGTGAGCCAAGATTGTGCCACTGCACTCCAGCCTGGCGACAGAGCAAGACTCTGTCTCAAAAAAAATAAAATAAAATTAGGACTGTAGAAGAAGAATAAAAAAGATCTTGACTGCTTAACCTAAAATCAAAAGGAAAAAAATGTGTTTGTCTTTGACTTCTAGATCTAAATGTGCAGAATTTAATTAAAATCAGACATTTGATTTCACATGTCACTGTTTTAAAATAAAATAATCCTCATTTAAGGAAAAGTGTCAAGCATTATAATTAGTCTTAATAACAAAAAATAATATCTAAGTACATTAAAAGCATTATGACTAAATAACTTTTTCTTCTATGGAAGAAAACTGAAAAATCAAAATGCCTACTTTTATAGTTCTACTTTATATTTTTAAAAATCATCACAAGTGAACAAACTCAATAAAATAACATTGTTTAAGAATTGGCACTATAGACATTAAGATTTTCCTTTAGCAGGCTTTTACTTATTTATAAACATAATGACCTCTTACTTTGTTTCAGAAAGTCTGATGAAAAATATTCCAGCATGTGTCTTTCTACAAGCATGGGACTGACTTTAAACCCAATGTAAAAAGTTTACTTTGGGCCAAGTGTTAAACTAGACACCCAAAATGATGCAGTTGAAGACTCCATTGCTACAGATTTGATTCAAAAGATTTGCCATTCTGCAACGGTGACAACCAATTGACATTGACATGAATAGCTGATCAAAGTGAAAAAAAATCAGATTATTGTTCTTTTGAGCATGTGTGTAGCAAAAAAACTCAGTCTATATTTGGGCAAAAGAATGCAGTAACATCATAAGGCTGATATGAATTCAACTGTACATCCCCCAAAAGATATATTGAAGTCCTTACTCCCAGGATATCAGAATGTGACCTTATTTGAAAATAAGATCTTTACAGAGATAATCAAGTTAAAATGAGGTAATTTGGGTAGGTGCTAAACCAACATGACTGGTGCTCCTAAAAAAGGGAAGCTTGGACACAGAGACAGGCATACACAGAGAGACTATGTGAACACCATGTCAAGGTGAAGGCAGAGATGGGAGTGATGCATCTACAAGCTAAGGAACATCAAAGATTGCTTTCAAACCACCAGAAGCTACAAAAGAGGCATGCAGCAGATTCACCCTTACAGTCCTCAGAAGGAAAAAACCTTGTCGAAACCTTGATTTCAGATTTCTAACCTCCAGAACTCTAAGACAATACATTTCGTTTATGTAGACCACCCAGTTTGTGGTACTTTGTTACAGCAGCCCCAGGAAACGAATCCAGTCTGAATACTATTTTTTTTCAAACCATCACTTTAGTCTCATCCCTTCCATTCCTCAACAGCAGTAAAATGTTCCTTCTTACCAATCATTTCTGCACAAATTACAATGATATACTTATATAGATACGATAGCATGACAGTTACTGCGGTTCAAGCATTAACCTTCTTCAAAATAACTCTAATTGAGAGTCGTGAGGAATTCTTCTTCTTCTTTTTTTAATCCTGGAAGAAAACCCAGAAAATACCCTTCTCAACACTGGCCCTGGCAAAGAGTGTTTGAGTTAAGTCTCCAAAAGCAATTGCAACAAAAACTAAAGTTAACAAGTGGGACCTAATTAAACTAAAGAGCTTCTGCACAGCAAAAAGTAAACAACCTACAAAATAAGAGAAAACATTTGCAAAGTATGCATCCAACAAAGATTTAGTAACCAGAATCTATAAGGAACTTAAATCGACAAGAAAAACAAATAACCACATTAAAAATGGGCAACAGATATGGTCATGAAGAATTCTAACAAAAAATAGAAAAAGTATACTGCCTAGAGGAACCTAAACCACAATATATATCATGCTTGCAGTAATTTTCAAGCTGCTCTCCCACTGAATGTAATAAAACCTGACACATATATGATTTTAAGAAACACTATATCTTTAAAAATTGTTATGGCTATTATTTCACTTGCCTGAGATACTGCCTTTTTCTTTCTTTGCAAATAAATATGTTTTCCACAATATAAATCATCTTATGCTCTGTCTCCTGATAAATTCTGTGTTTTAGGGGAAGAGAGGAGAGAAAGGGAAGGCAGAAAGATGGACACTTTTTATAGTATTTGAAATAAGATGAAACATATCAAGAAAATAAAATATGAGAAGCACTGTTCACAATTTTCAAGGATAATTGCCCTAAATATAGGCGGTTCTTAAAACAGTACTTATGATACTAAAATTTACAATGCAGACAAGCCAAATTTGAAAAATCTTGGAAAGAGATAAAAAAGCATATTTTAATACACTCCACCTTATCAAAAAGCAAATTATAATACAGAATCTGCAGGGCAAACGACAGAGTGAACATTTATAATTGATCTTAGACGTAGTTAGCTTGTTCAAACCCAATCCTTATAGCTTTTAAAAAGTCGATTTTTCCTGAAGAAATAGTATTGCTTCTGTAGCTACATAGATTCAACAATAATTATTGCAAATATTTATTGAATACTTAGTAGTTAGACACTTATACTTGAATACATTATGTCATATAACCCTTCTAGCAATGAACACTCTTATCTTGCTTTTACAGATGAGAAAAGTGAGGTACAAAGAGTTTAAATAAATTACTGAAGCTCCATGGCAAGTAAGTAGTACAGAATGTAAATCCATGCAGTCTGGCTCCAGGGCCTGTACCCTTAACCACTATGCAATATCAATTAACATACATGACTAATGTAACATAAACTTAAACATAAGGTTTAAATACTATTTGCCCAATGAGAACATTACAGAAAATATTTTTTATCAATTTGAATATATATACATGTGGAGACGCAGATGCAATTATCAAATGTCTAGTTGCAATTTTAATTTATATGGATTTCAGTAATCACATTTTAGATAAATTAGGATATTAATCAGAATTATTGACTTTTCTACATTCACATTTCATAACATAATAACAATACAGCCTAGTGGTTTAGCATAAGGACTCAGGAATGAGTTCAAAATGTCTAGTCTACTATTTTCTAGCATAATAATGTTTAACAAATTACTTACTCTGTTCTCAATTTCCTCATGTGTCAAATGGGAGTTATAGGGCACCCACCTCACTGGGTTGTTAAGAGGAGGAGTAATTGAGTTAAAAAGTACAAAGTACTTAAAGAAATGCTTGGCACACAAATGCTTGAAGTATATATAGGTGCTAACTGTCATATTTTTCAAATCCTTCATTTTTATCTTTGGCATGAGTGGCTTTGCCATCATTAGAGCCCACTGTGAGTTCTCCCATGCTGTTTTTCATATTATCTCCCTTACTACCCAAGTTATTTGAAATATAGACTTCCAGTGCTTCAGTGCCTTCACTGAAACTGATATTCCAAGCCACAATAGCCATTCACCTGATATTAGAAAGGTTTATTTGTTACTTAAGAGGGTATTTTTTATCTCTGCAATGAAAATATTTACAGTATTTACAATATTGCTTATATGTTATCTTTAAAAGACTTTTTTTTTTTTTTTAACAACATGCAGCACTTGCAATACCGATGTAAAGTTTCCAGGAATAGTTATAAAATTAGGGTTAAATTTCTTTGCCTTTTAAAAACCAGTTCTATACAAAGGCATCCAACGCCATTACAGACAAATCTATCTTCTCAAAACTATTCATTGTTCAAAGTAAAATAACTGAAATAACAGAAGCAGAATTTGAATAACCTAGTACAGAAGACTTGATGAGGAAACTCTTTGGTAAAGGAAAAAAGATAATTTAGAGGAAATATAATTGTCATATTTGAGAAAAGAGGTTACATAGTTAATATGCAGGGACAGTGAAAACAAACACTGGCACTTATTTGGTTTTTACCGTAGTTGTCAGGTTTCATTGTAGAACTTGACTGAAATACACAGAGCTGCCAGATCTCCATTTCATGTGGTGCTTGTGGATATAGCTGAAGGTAGGAGAAAACTGCCCATGTTCAAACCATAATTTTCTGGCACAATTTTCCACGGCATATTAACTATAAAACAGAAGGGAAAGGAGGCAACTCTAAAATATCTTTAAATAAATTACTGAAGCTCCATGGCAAGTAAGTAGTACAGAATGTAAATCCATGCAGTCTGGCTCCAGGGCCTGTACCTTAGTTTCAGAGCCATACTAAGAAAATGAAGTTGTTTTGTGTGTGTTTGTGAAATATGTAAAAGTGTTAGTGTGTATACTAGCATGACTGTCTTAACTAAATAATATTACTCATTATTAGGATGTCCTTTCCATTTTTGTTTTGGTGATGGATACATTAGGTCCCAGGGAAGGACTGTGCAGCTATTACAGCTCTAGCTCATGTTGCCTCATCTCTTGACCTAGGTGAGGCTTTCTACTCCTGATAAAGCCAAGTGGGTGACTTTAACAGAGGACGGCACATCTACCAAGGACTCCAGTTTCCTTTAATATAACTTTCTGAAGCCTATCCCAGAGTGAGGGAGCAATGCAAAAAAAAAAAAAAGGAAAAAATCCAAAATGAAATTCCTACATGATTAGCCATGAAATTAGTGGATGTTCTCAAAATCCCTAATGGGCATCTGCAGGATACTTTGGCTTATGTCTCAAAGTCAAATAAACAATATGCAAAACTCAATCAGGTAACTCAATTTTCTTGCTTGGCTTCTCAATTGGAGCAGAAATTCAAGGGGGAAAATTTAAATATGTTAATTGCTTTCAGAGACAGAAGTAGAATTTGAAGAACATCTATATCTAATAATTCATTCCTAAAACAAGCAAATTTTTTACCTTTTAACTTCTGGGTACAGGTGCAGGTTTGTTACATAGATAAACTTGTATCATAGGGGTTTGTTGTACAGATTATTTCATCACCCAGGTATTAAGCCTAGTACCTATTAGTTATTTTTCCTGATTCTCTCCCTCCTCCCTCCAACATGCCCTACTGTGTGTTGTTCCCCTCTAGGTGTCCATGTGTTCTCATTATTTAGCTCCTACTTATAAGGAGAACATGTGGTATCTGGTTTTCTGTTCCTGCATTAGTTTGCTAAGGATAATTTCCTGCAGCTCTGTCTATGTCCCTGCAAAGGACATTATCTCATTGCTTTTCTATGGCTGCATAATATTTCATGGTGTGTATGTGCCACATTTTCTTTATCCAGTCTATGATGGATGGGCATTTAAGTTGCTTCCATGTCTTTGCTACTGTGAATAGTGCTGCAATGAACATACACATGCATGTGTCTTTATGGTAGATTGATTTATAACCTTTTGGGTGTATGCCCAGTAACGGGATTACTGGGTAGAATGGTATTTCTGTCTTTAGGTCTTTGAAGAATCGCCACACTGTGCTCCATAATGGCTGAACTAATTTACCCTCCCACCAACAGTGTATAAGCATTCCTTTTTCTCTACAACCTTACCAGCATCTAAATGGACAATTTTTAATGCTCATATTCTTGTAGCTCACTCAAATTTGAAAGGAATATCTTTTTTGATTCAGAAGAAACAGAAACATCAGAAAAAAACAAGACAGACCAGATTTTTTTTTAACCATAAGATTAAGTAGATAATGATGGATTACTGCATCTTGTTGATGATTCGAAACACAGCTTCATGGATAATGTAGCTTAAAGAAAGTACAATCACAAAGTTTATCAACTGAACTAGGATATTTTTGAGAGTAAAAGGGAACAATATTAATAATTATGCTGGGGGTAAGGAAAAATAGGCAGAAAATGGGACAATGGAATTGTCTCCAGCAAATCATAATATGTGGTCATTCTACCTAAAGTTGTGCCAATGATACCTAAACCAATAAATGCTAAAATGATTGATGAAAGGTGGTGAACACTTGAATGAGCAATTTCAGAAATTCAAAAATATAGGCAGAAAGCACAAAAATCTAGTGTTCAGTGGCAAAATAGGGTAGCCATAATTAACAATAATTTATTGTATAGTTCAAAATAACTAGGAGTAGATTTAGAATTTTCTCTACACAAAGCAATGACAAATGTTTGAGGCGACAGATACATCTCAATTACCCCGATTTCATTATTACACATTGTATTCCTGTATCAAAATATCACATTTATCTCATAAATATGTACAACTATGATGTATCCGTAAAAATAAAAAAAATTAAATTCACCAATGGAGTAAAAACCTCAAAGGGCAGCTGCCTGTTGGTTTCTAGGGTACAATCCTAGGTTTTTTGATATGGTTGTTATAGCCTTTTGTTCTTGCTATTTTTGTTTGGAGGGGAGTGCGTTTTTTGTTTGTTTTAGTTTTACTTGTTTGTTTTATTGCGGTGGGGGTGTTGAGAGAAAAATTTTAAGTGAAATTTTATTGTTCCTTTGGAAACTAGTCCTCAACAATGGTCTGGCTTCTTTTGTGAGGGCCTCAGGATTTTGATACCGGAATATAATGCAATGGCTCATGATAAATGTTATTACTATAAACCCTGAAGAAAGTTCTGCTCATTAGTTAATAGCATGTTATTTGGAGTCACAGTATTTGGATTCCACCATCTTGGGAAAGTGATTTAACACAGCAGCCAAAGCAATCTTTTTCAAAAGGAAACAATCTAAACATCACTCATCAGTTCACAATCTTCATTTCTTTTAGAACCAACACACAAATCCCACAGGATATTTCCTGGCCCCTTCCTGTTATTCCAGCCTCAACTCCTATGTGGCTCCCCTCACTTGCCGTTCCAGTCACTCAGGTTCCACTTAGAAGAGTGGTTCACAAATTCAGGTGATGTTGCCCCCACCCCCGCCCCAGGGACATTTGGATTTGGCAATGTCTGGAGAGATTTTTAGCTGTCCCAACTTGGTGGTGGTGGTGGCGGTTGGTTATGAGGAGTACTGGCATCTAATGGCTAGAGGTTAGGGACGCTATGCTAAGCATCATGCACAGGGCATGACCCAAAGAATCATTCTGACCCAAAATGTTAATAATGCTAAAGTTCAGAGCTCGATTTTCATCTTTCCTCAGACCATGTTTCCCAGATCTTGCACACATTGTTCTCTTTGCCTAAAATATTCAGGCTATTTTCCCTTTACCTTTTTATTTCCCTTTACCTTTTTACCTATTATCCTCCTTTACCCTTGTCCTTTCCTCTTTTTTTTGTCTTCCCTAACTCCCACTCACCCTTCGTTAACTCTCTTATAGTGGCTTTACAGACTCTTCCTCCCAGATGAATGTTACTCTTATGGAGCGCTAAAGAATATTAGCAGCAATTTCACTCGCATTTGTATGTGTTCGATTACCCCCTCCACCACCAACGCCAGGTGGGTAGATGTCATCTAGCTTATATTTACTACAGTATCCCCAGCAGCTAGCACAGAATGCACACTTAATAGCTTCACTTAAAACAGGGAAATAGGGTAACCATCTCATTAGGTTGTAAAGATTAAATAATACATACAAACTCTTTAGCACAGTGCTTGAATCACAATAAATGCAGATACCGAGGCATTGTAGTTTGTGGACAGGAAAGGGGGGCTCCGGCTGTCTCATTTTAGCGCCTCCCAGCCTTTCGTCACCTCGGTCTGAGAAACTCCTCCTCCTCCCCACAAGTAAGCAGCAATTGCTGCGCCTGCGCTTTCCTGGTTTCACGCTAACCAGGCTGCCGGAAGCACTTTCCTCTTTCGCATTGGCCCGCCGCAGGTGGGGTAGATACTACGCATGCTCTATATTCGTGTCTCCTCCTCCCGCCCACCGGTGCCCAACCAAAGAGGAGAGCTCAAAACTTACTAACACGCCTGCGCGAGCGGACATGCTCCGGAAGCAGTTTTTTGGCCCTGTGACACGTAGCAACGGGGCTGTTTCAGGGTCTGAAACAGAGTTTGGGGGTTGTTTGGGACTACTGAAGCTACTGCCTTCGCCGCCAGCGCAGCCTGAGAGTTTGGTGAGTGACCCAGGCCCGTGGCACACTATTCAGCTTCTCTCCACACCTGTGCAAATGGGCTTGTTGCGGTCTTTCGGCGCCGCGCCCTGGTCCTTTTCGCTCAGACCCTCGCTCCCGTTCAAGTCCTTGCCCTGACGCGGGCCCCTGCACCTCAGGCGCGACCTTCCAAGATTCTGCACTTTCCTGGCAGGCTGCGGGCCTTATTTTGCAAGGAAGCAGTCGCGTTGTCAGCTGTAAAGCCCTGTCCTAAGGTGAAAAATCATCTTTGTTGTTATTGATATTTTAGACCCCTTATGGAACCACAGCTCCCACGACCTCGCCCCTGATGGAAGGCATTATCAGCTCCTTAAGGTGGAGTTGTCTTACTGGGCCGCAACTTAAAGAATAGGCATTTTCTTACTCTCTCTCCGCCACCGCCCTTCAAATGCTGCGTTCCTCCCCCGCCCCCGCCCCGAATTACTGAAAAAATATTTGTTGTGTTCTGTATTTGCTTAAGCAGACTGCCAGGAGCGAATTCAGTAGAACCTTGGGCATAAGCAGTATTTGCCGTTTCTCTTTTATTACAGATTATTTGCAATGTCAGGCTTTGAAAACTTAAACACGGATTTCTACCAGACAAGTTACAGCATCGATGATCAGTCACAGCAGTCCTATGATTATGGAGGAAGTGGAGGACCCTATAGCAAGTAACTTTTCATCTTTGGCAATTAATTTAGTCTACATTGCAGTGAAAACACATATTTAGAATACTTGGTTCTGCCTAAAACAATGTGTGAACATGTTCTTTATCAGGAGTATGATCTTTCATGCATAATCTTCTTCCTCTAGAGAGATATGTGACACTGGCTTGGGTTTGAAGCCAGTTGCTTGCTCTATTTACAGTTGAGTATCTTCTGCAAAATCTTCAGGTGTACCATGAAGGGAAAAGTAACTTGTTGGAAGAACTGTTTTCTAGTAACAGTATTTCTGTATTTAGATGATGATGGGAGCTTCAGGTACCTAGGAGATAGGCTGTTAGTTCATGGGACAGTGAAAAATTAAAATATTTTGGTAGTAGTTAAATCAGTCCAACTTGAGACTTTTATCAGTGCTAATTGAAAGTACTTAGTGACATTATTTAATGATGTAAGCTCCCTATTATGAATCATCAGGTGATTTTCATACAGCAGTTGATAATCATTTTTATTACTCCTCGTTACTCCTCTTTCTGAAACCCTTATGGTCAGTACCACACATGTTATAAGTTGCATACTGAGGAGGTTGACTCAAAGCCATTAGCCTCTGAACATTAAAAAAAAAAAAGTGATCTTTTTATAGTACCTGGTGTTTGTGACAAAAATACATGAACTGAAGGCTTTCTAGCAATCTCACCTAGGATATCATCTCCTTGGTTTCTCGGGACCCTAGAGATAATCTTATCAACTTCCTGTCAAATAAAGGAGCTTCCTATACTAGGATTGTTTAAACTTAAGATGATTCTAGATCACTTTGAGAATCTTATTACAACTGGGCCTCTTTCCCATAAATACATGCATTCACTCAAACACCCAAATAAATGTGCATATATAACTTCAGACAATTCATGTGTTATATGATGATCATCCATGGATCCCGAATTTAAAACCTCATAAAGACTGTTCCACGTTGAGGGCAGGGAAAGGTTATGTATCTGTCAGTTTGTGAGAAACATGCAATACAAGAATGTGTTTGGATTAGAGTGCTCAAGAATTTAAGAAACAAAACAAAATTCAAATTCGGTGTGGCTCTATAATACAGTCTGTCTTGGTTAAGCTATCCTTTATGAAACCTATAGTCTCTTCGAGTCTGCTTAATTTGGTATATTCTAAGGCTTTATTTTCTCCTCTAAAACTTAACACATATGAACAATGGGAGTGAGCATGTCAGAATACCCTCTGTGATTCATTTCCCTTTTCTGTTACTTAATTACATACCAATGAAGATTTATCTCTTTTGATAAATTAATGGGCAGAATTGGAAAATTTGTATTGAGATATTTCCATTCATTTATTTACCTAAATATGTATTTATGGTGATTGCTTTGTGTATGGGAGACAGAGTCCATCTAATAAACCCTTGCCTAAAGCAGCAGCAGGGCTTTGGAGAACCTGTCTCTGTATGCAGGCCTGTTTTTAACCGAATGATTTTTATGATTAGAACTCAACAGAACTATTCCATTTAGATTGCAGCCTACGAGATTTATCTATCTCTGCTTTTTTGTCCTGTCCACATTTGCATCACTTAGGTGTGACTTATAGTCTCATTCCATTTAACAGTCATTTCAGATCTCTACACAGCAATTTAGATATTCTAAACAACTTGTTGCTAACTGTTCTCACAGTTTCATTCCAACCAAATAATGTACCAGTAAGCATTGCTTCAGTACTAGTGAAGAGGTTTTATTCCGGGTGATTATATAACCATTATTGCTGTAAACTTGGGTTTATAGATGATGCCTGGGAAAACAAGAACCCTAGTGTATTAACAGTAATAAATTTGAGTTTCTGAGATTTATTTTTTAAAAGCTGGACTCTTCTCTGTGTACCTTCAAGTAGATCTGCAATCTAATGACATTTTAAACGTCCATCTCAGTTAACCAAATAATGTTTTGTTGGATTTGCTAATTTGGTAACAGAGATCGCTAATAACTTTACGCTTGCCATTGGTGAAAATCTAGGTGCAAATAGCATATTACTTGCATTGCCTTTACATTTTTAACTTGACTTGTTATTAGTACACAGTTCTGCATTTGCCATAATGAAGTCAGCTTTAACATTTTGTGGTTTCTTCTATAGGTGTTTCACAAGTATCATTCATATATCCATTCACCAAAAAAAAAACAATAAAAGTGTAAAAGGCCCTTTGATCATAATCTGTTGAGTTATATGAATGGAAAATTGGATAGATTCCACATTGTATTCCAGATATGCTTATGAAATATATCATAATACCAAGTCACATTTTTTAAAGTATGAAAGGTTATTTTTTTTCTTCTTTGACTTGCCGATAGTATCTTTATGGAATATCTGAGGATTTCCATGAACTTAGGTAACCAACCCAATATGTTAAGAGGGTTTGTCTTTGTTATTGATTCAGAGTACTTATGAGAGCATTGATTTAGTATCTGCTGCTTCTCCTGCCATGAAAGTATGTCGTTTTAGCCTATAAAGATCATGTCTCACATACCATGTTTTAGTTTAAAACCAGCAGGAGCAAGTCAGAAATTTTCCTGAATAGGTCCTGCCAGAAAAGGAAAATAGTAAAATTCTATGATGTTGTCATTCTCACCTTTCCTCTTGAAGATGGAATGATGGTGCCACCTTTGAAACAATTGCTTGCAGCATTTTTCTTCCTTACATGAAATTTATGGGTCTGTATCAGTAGCTCTCAAAATTTAGGCTGTAGACTACAGAGGGTCCTTGAGACTCTTCTGAGATTCTTTAAGGTCAAAGTTATTTTCATAACAATACTAAGATATCATATACCTTTTTAGGTATGTTAACATTTGCAGTGCTGTTGCAAAAGTATTGATTGGTAAAACTGCTGGTACCCAAATATGAATCAAGATAGTGGCATCAAGTTGTTCTAGTAGTCATCGTATTCTTCATCACTCTATAGACTTGTTAGAGAGTTGGCAGGTAGTCAATTTCATTTAAGGATTCTGTTGAGGAAGCAGTAAGAATTATCGTTTTATTAAATCCTGACCCTTTAGTACACATATTTCCTTTTTTTTTTTTTTCTTTTTTTTTTTTTTTGAGATGGAGTCTTGCTCTGTCGCCCACACTGGAGTGCAGTGGTGGGATCTCAGCTCACTGCAATCTCCACCTCCCGGGTTTACGCCATTCTCCTGCCTCAGCCTCCCAAGTAGCTGGGACTACAGGCGCCCGCCACCTCGCCTGGCTAGTTTTTTTTTTTTTTTTTGTATTTTTTTAAGTAGAGACGGGGTTTCACCGTGTTAGCCAGGATGGTCTCGATCTCCTGACCTCGTGATCCACCCGTCTCGGCCTCCCAAAGTGCTGGGATTACAGGCTTGAGCCACCACACCCAGCCTATTTCTTTATGACAAAATTTAGTATTTACTACATACTAAAGTACAATTACTATCTCTACGAAAAGCACCTGTGCAAGCTGAACTGGCTGTTATTTCATGAAGACCATTTTTATTTGAAAGAACTACAGATAAACTATGGTTATTCAGACTTGAGCATTCGGCAGATATTTTCCCAAAAACAAGTAAAGAGAGCCTCACCCCAAGGAAAACAACTGACATTATGGCTATAAGAATTTAAATGGGAATTAGACTAAAGGTTTTCTAAGGCTTCTCAGCTCTCATTTTTAAGAATATCTTTTAAAATAATTATTTTACATCTGTGTTTCTTAGTGTATCATTAGATTAGTCCCATCAGTAAGCTGGATTTTTTTCAAAACATGATGGAACAGATGTTTAAAGATGTGGCTTCAGTATCCTTCTCTTCCCTCTTGCCATTGTCACTAAAATAGCTGTGATAAAGCTTTCCCTCTAGATACAGAGTTTGCTATAGCACATATCAAATGAGACAATAAGTGTATAACTACTTTGAGAAATAGTACTTTGAAAAAATATTATTCAAATGCAAAGTGTACTAAAAATGTTTTGTTATATTCAACAAGTGCTCACAAAGCAAAACTTGATTTGTCCACTCTGTTTTTAAATTGATGGTTTTCTTAAAGAGATTTGTCCACTTGCCAAAGGTAACATACTATGAAGAGGAAAGAAGAACGATGATTCAATGGCTATCCAAATTACAGTGAAAAATTATATAACATGTATTACAAAGTTTGATATCCTAAGGTTTCATTCAGTCTTAGCCATAGATTTTATTTCATAGTGTATCTTCATATTGTATATATCCACTAAGGGAGAAAAATAGACACAATTTTTACATTTTCATTTGTTGACCTCCTAACTTTTAACAGTTGGTAAAATGCTTAGTGCTACGTAAGTGAATATTGGTTTCATTAAGAAGATTTTTTATAAAAATTATGAGTTTTTATTGTAGATAATCAGCTTGATATTAGTAATCATTTCAACCATGATTTATAAAAATTGGCAAAGTTTGTATCTTAGTAATTGCACAACTAAGGTTCTTTAGCTGTCAAATGAAAATTTAGGAATTTAAGGTATATTAACTGTACAGAGTTGAAATACTTCTGAAAAATTTGACTTTCTTTCATTTGTAGACAGTATGCTGGCTATGACTATTCGCAGCAAGGCCGATTTGTCCCTCCAGACATGATGCAGCCACAACAGCCATACACTGGGCAGATTTACCAGCCAACTCAGGCATATACTCCAGCTTCACCTCAGCCCTTCTATGGAAACAGCTTTGAGGATGAGCCACCTTTATTAGAAGGTAAGATTGGTTGCAACACTTGATAGTACTCAATAGTATTCAGCTGGTTAGTGAGAATTAATCTTAATTTGGAGAAATTGTATTTTCCTTTAAAAAAAAATCTTGTAGAAAAAAGTCTTCTGCTAAACAACTCATTTTAAACAGAGTATATGTGAAACCACATTGGGCCAGAAGAGACCAGATTTTTAATAGATCTTTTAATAGTGATAATAAAGTATATTACTCTGTCAGCATCGACTTTTACTTCAGGTTATTGGCCAAATTCTACTAGTGGAAAAAGTGAGAAGAAAAAGCATGGTATCCATTATTCTATGTGGAAATAAACTGGCAGAACTAGTGACATCACTAAAAAAATGGTGATTTTCAAACTGTATTCCAAAACCTAGGAAGAGGTAGTTCCGAACATTTTTTTGAACTAGATACTCTTTGAAAATCTAATGAAAGGTATGAACACTCTCCTCAGAAAAAATGCACACATATGCATAGAGACGTCGTTTTGTATACAGTTAAATGGGCCCCCAGGTATTCCTGAAGCCCCAGATAAAGAACCTCTTACTGTTAACCGTTTTTGTATATTCTTTGCTATGCAGTCATGCCTAAGGGATGTAATAACTGTCTTTTTCATCAGATCCGTACCCTTTTCCAACACCAATCCAGAAATGACATATTTGTGGGATGAGCACCACATTGAAGACTGGCATAGAGAACTCACTAAAATAATATCATTCAGGCCAGGCACGGTGGCTCAACACCTGTAATCCCAGTGCTTTGTGAGGCCGAGGCTGGGAGGATCTCTTGAGACCAGGAGACCAGGCTGAGCAACACAGCAAGATCCCATCTCTCCAAAAAAAAAAAAGAAAGAAAAAAAAAGGAAAGAAAAGAAATAGCTCTATGTTGTGCCACACACCTGTGGTCCCAGCTACTCAAGAGGCTAGGCAGGAACATCACTTGAGTTCAGGAGTTTGAGGCTATAGTGAGCTATAATCATGCCACTGCACTCCAGCCTGGGTGACAGAGAGAGAACCTACCACAATAATGATAATAATAATAATGTCATCCAATATTGCTAGATCCTTTTTTGATGCTATCTATGTCATTTTGTCTCCCATTTCAACATAGATTTTGATCAGTTAGTTAAAAATACATCACAAATCCTAATTAACTTTTAAATTTTCTTTCTCCTTAGAGTTAGGTAATCAATTTTGACCACATCTGGCAAAAAACACTAACAGTATTACATCCATTAAAAGTAGCAGATGGCAGCATCATGAATGAAACTGATTTGGCAGGACCAATGGTTTTTGCCTTGCTTTTGGAGCCACATTGCTACTGGTAAGATTTTCATTTCAACCTTCAGGGTGCAATTAAAGAAACAACCTTTAAGTTTTGAATGTTCTACCAAAAGCCATTTTGAAACTCTGCTTTACACCTCAAGTCTTTGATGTGTTTGGAATAGTACTGAGTTGCTTGTATTATTACCTATTCGTTAGTTCTCCATCTATAGTAAGTGTAGCATGTTTTAAAAATCATTTCTTGTTCTAAGAAATGATTCAATTATTAGGGGAAAAATAAAATAGTAAACAACAGGTATAGCTTCAGTCCTCATTAGAATTCTGCCTTTTCAGAGGTTACTTACAGTTTTTACGCTATTGCTTTTTTTTTAAATATTTTTTTAAAAATCACTAAACCTTGGTTAATGTTTGTTATAGTCATACTGATGATACTTTTCCCATATATTATTTTCCCAATTTATCACCTTCCCAAGAATGTTAAGGCATATTTGAAAACAGAAAAGTTGTAAAGATAATTGTTAATATTTATTTATCTTATGTCTCTGAATTAATAAGAGATAACTACTGTAATGTATAGAAGATGGGATTTTTAGTCATAAGAGCTGGTCTTGAACAGAGTGCTCCTGATCTGCCCTTGGCCACATCATTTAATCCTTCAGTTTCCTCTCATAGAAAATAATCCTGTCCTGCTTACCTAGCAAGATTATTTTGAAGATGAAACAAGACAGGTTATGTGAGAACACATTGAAAAGTGAAAAACACTGTACAAATGTGAGTTTTTTTATTACTACATGAATGAATTCATCAATGAACTCAGCTTTTTCAAACTTCTGCACTTTTAGTCAAGTATTTACAAATAATCTAATAAATGTCCCAACAATTTGTTTACTTAACATAAACTGTAGAGGCATTCTCCTAATTTAGTTTTATATGACAAAAGTTGGATAAATCAATAGCTTTTTGAAAGCTTTTTTGTAAACTGGTTTTAGTGATAGTGTGACCTGAATACAAAGTTTGTTGTTCACAAACTCGGCTAACAGTAGGATAATTCCAATTTAGCTAATCTTTGCAGTGCTTAAACTGCTTATTGTTGTCTTTTCTTAATCAAAGGACTGTGTAAATCAGCCAATAATTTGGAAAAAATTAAAAAAATATATATCTCCATATATTCTTCTTTCCATTTCTCTCTCCTTCCTCACAGAACCCTGGCTTCCTGTTATCCTGGCTTCCTTTCCCCTTGCTCCTCTAACACCCATATAAAGTGAATCATAGATTTCTTCCTTAGAAAGTTTATGACAACTCCACCAATGAGATTTTATTGCTTGGGGGCATTTTTGGTGGAATTAGGTACTTTCAACTGATATACTGTTATTTAAATATTCTGAATGGCTTCCCCTCTTGTCTCTAGTTTATTTGCCTAAAATCATTCAGAGTTCTTTTTAGAAACCTTACTATTTTGAGTGATTCTGCTATGGCCTTTTGTCTCTTTATTTGTTCACTTCTGTGGCCAAGCCTGCACGCTAACTGGAAAATTGGAGAACCAAATATCTGTGTACTTTAAAGTTACAAAGAATGTAACAAGCCAGTCTGCTCAATCTTTTACTTTTCTACATAAAGAATAGATTAGTAGGCCGGGCGCGGTGGCTCAAGCCTGTAATCCCAGCACTTTGGGAGGCCGAGACGGGCGGATCACTAGGTCAGGAGATCGAGACCATCCTGGCTAATACGGTGAAACCCCCGTCTCTACTAAAAAATACAAAAAAACTAGCCGGGGCGAGGTGGCGGGCGCCTGTAGTCCCCAGTCTACTCAGGAGCCTGAGACAGGAGAATGGGCCCCGAACCCGGGAAGGCGGAGCTTGCAGTGACTGAGATCCGGCCACTGCACTCCAGCCTGGGCGACAGAGCGAGACTCCGTCTCAAAAAAAAAAAAAAAAAAAAAAGAATAGATTAGTAGATTTTGATGTTCATGAAATATTTCCTACCTATACTGATTCAGGTGAAATAAGGCCAGAAATAACTTATTCTTTGCCCTTTAACCTGTAATCTTCTTCTTTACCCGTAGGCTTGGCAAAATCCAGTTTGGCTATGTATACGGGATCAGTGCAATCGGATGTCTAGGAATGTTTTGTTTATTAAACTTAATGAGTATGACAGGTGTTTCATTTGGTTGTGTGGCAAGTGTCCTTGGATATTGTCTTCTGCCTATGATCCTTCTTTCCAGCTTTGCAGTGATATTTTCTTTGCAGTAAGTACTGTTCTTTATTTTGGGGGTTGATTGACCAATTCTATGTAGTAGGATTCACCTCATCTTCAGTTTGAGATAAATCACTGATTCAGCAAACATATCAGATAGTGCCTCTTGTAGTAGAGATGGTGCCAAATGATTTTGGATGAAGAACAATGGTAATGAGAATAAATTTTAAAACCTTTATACCATCTCTGTTTTACCCATGATCAAGAATTTCACTAGTTTTGTGTTTACTTACCATTGTCATAGTGGTAACAAATTGAACAGGGTGATTGTTAAATATTACATGAGAAAGGTCAAGTCATTGTTCAAATTATGCTTACCCTCTTTGGTGTTTTCTAGATCCACCTAATTTATTGAAACCATTGGACATATGCCAAATGTATGAGTAATAAATACATACTCTATTGGGCAGCTTTTTAACTGGAAATGAAATGTAATCTTTTTATGACAAGAGACTTATCAGCCTACTGTGTTTCTCAGATAGATGTACTTGTAAGCAGCTTTAAGTATGTGTAATTTTTAAATGATATTTTATGTTAGGTTAAAAGAAAAGGTATGGCTGGGCATGGTTGCTTACACCTATAATCCCAGCACTTTGGGAGGCCGAGGCAGGCAAATCACCTGAGGTCAGGAGTTTGAGACCAGCCTGACCAACGTGGAGAAACCCCGTCTCTACTAAAAATACAAAATTAGCTGGGCATGGTAGCGCATGCCTGCAATCCCAGCTACTCTGGAGGCTGAGGCAGGAGTATCACTTGAACCCGGGAAGTGGAGATTGCAGTGAGCCGAGATTGCCCCGTTGCATACTTCAGCCTGGGCAACAAGAGCGAAACTGTCTCAAAAAAAAAAAAAAAAGGAAAGGTATACATTACTGCCAATAAGGTTCCTCCCTGTGGCCAGTGTACAGATGGTCTCAATATAAAATCCTCCTTGTGACTAGTGTTAGACATTACCAGTGGTCAGGCTTTGTTACACTTTGAAAGCTAAAGTGGAGATTTGGGAGAAGAGACAAATATGTCAATTATTTGTCTGATACAAGAAATTTGGCAAAGTGATGCTTTATACTATTTCTGCTTTCAATAGAAATATTTCGTATTTTCAGTGTAGAAATCACTCTTATTCATTAAGAATTTGTGTATTCATATTTGAATTTTACAGAAGTTATTTTCTGCTAAAACCCTTTTTTCAACTAGGAACAATTTTGCCTCCAAGGGGACATTTGACAATGTCTGATGGGGGTCAAGGGTGCTGCTTGTATCTTAGGTGTAGAGGCCAGAGATGCTGCTGAACATTCTGACAGTGCACAGGACAGCCCCCACAACAAAGATACATCCAGCCCAAATGTTAGTAGTGCCAAGAGTGAGAGACCTTATATTTTTAAAAA